AATACGACCCCCCGTTGCTACTTGTAGCAACATAGGGTTGACCCTGCCCCTCCCCACTTTCCTTCGGCCGAATATGACCCCCTCGTTGTTCCTTGCGCAACGGGCGGTTGACCCTGGTCACGACCAGATACACTGGCATTTCCTACCTCTCCCTCTTGCTGGAGATGATGATGACCAATGTCCATCATCATTTCCAGCATGAGCACATCATTTCCTACTACTCACCATAACCTCTCAACACCAGTCACCACCACGCTCCTACTTCAGGATTTTTGCTATAACACCCAGGCATGAGGACCCATCAACCGAGCACTTCCGTTTTATGTTCTCCTTGATTTGGTTCGCGAAGATCTTCTTTAGAGGAATTCTATCAGACCTTGAAACCAGGGCCATACGTCGCGCTGCGAATTTCGTTGCAAATTTGAAAATTTTTACGACGCTCCCCCTTTTAGAGGGTAGCAGTACGACCCCCCCCCTTGAATTAGTTATTTATGTCTTCTTGCATATTTTTATTTCCATCATCGATATATGGGCCGTCATCGACATGAAAAGAGGAGGTGGACAGTGGAAAGCTAATACGTCGCTCAGAGGACGGGAACCGAGGCAACATGAAATTTTTCTCATTACAAAGAGATACTCCTAACATTTAGCATGATGTTAGGCACGGCTGTAATTGTATAAAACTCTACTTTCAAAAATTTAACAAATTTTCTACGAACCTTCAAACTTACCTTTTTATGAAGTGAAGACTTGAATCTTGATGTACACTTATCTAATTATAATACTAACCATTCTTCAAGAGCTTACATCTTTCTTCATCTGCCTTCTCATGGAATGGAATATGAAAATGTTGAAACTTCAGGTTGTCTTCTTTTCAAATTGTATTTGAACTGTTGCAAATTTGAAAAAACGTTCCGTTGTTCCGTTTTTTGTGCATACTCGAGCTTTCAATGTTCAAACGTACATAACTTCCTTCGTGATCATTTCTTCGCATATCAAGGACTAGAGAGCATCGAAGCTGCAGAGAGCGGCATTGAATCTGTTTGCACCTCTGCCCACCTTCCCACACGCTGTCTATTGTCGGCCATTTCCCTTTCGCGCACACGAGGGGTGCTACATGTGTAATTTTCCTCCAGGAATCTAGTCCTAAACAGCTCCCAAATCCGGATCGTTAGACCGCTTCTGCTTGGATACTTGCGCCTTTCAACCGGGAATCTAGGATGCTGCCCATACAATCCGATATAGTGTAAGCGTGCAAACAGCGTGGCAAAGCTGGTTTTACAGAAGCATTGAGCTTCGGGTGCATCAGTCTAATTTATCATCTCGTAGCCGAATTTCACTTCGCGAGCTCTGTTCGTCAGTTTTGTTGATTCAAACGCCGCTTACGTGTTCCAGCGCCTGCCTGTGACGGAAAGAATACAGCGGTTTCTCTCCCCGGACATACTTTCAGAACTCACTAAGGCATTTATCAAAATGCGAAAATCGACCGGGTTCGCGTATGAAATACTGTAGCTGCGTCGATTTCTGAACGGTTAGTTTATTCTATGAATTGAATTTCTCCAACACTGAAACTTTTCATGAGACTCGGGATATTGTTTACGTGACCGAGGATTTTCAAAAAAACGGTTATAGGTCATCATTGTCAAATTTTATGAATGGTACCACCTCTTTTGGTTTGATGTTGCATACTAACTAGGATAACTCAGCTGTGCCATTATCGGCTCACGGACGAATCGAAAAACGCAGGGTTTTGCTGATCGTATTCCCAGCTCGGCCCGACCACCTGTTGCATCGCGTTCATCCCGCCTACGCTGTCTCAACCCGCCTACAATACGCAGGCTAGCAGGCAACAATGTGTGATGTGTGAGCCATCTCATAATCTGTTAATTGGATTTTGACGCAAAATTCGAGAAGCTCGCTTGGCCTAAAATTTTCGGACTTCACGTCGTAGTGGCGGATGTCGCACTTAGGTTGTGATGGTTTTTTTCAGGCCGCGCAATTTGTGGTGCTTTTGCGCGTCCCACACCCCCCTTGTTAGCGGTCCCGGTGCGACCCCCGTTGTTTTTTGTGAGAGAACAGTACAACAACTTCAGAACATGAAACTTAAAGGTACTCAAGAGACGGCGGTTGCGTCGCGGCTTCAGCCTAGAAGCCCTAGGCAAAGAGAGATCGGGGCGAGGTAAGAAAGGATATTCCAAAGAAAGACATAAATTTCTTGAATCTATCACAATTTCCTATATTATGTCAGGCTCAAGATTGAGATACATGCAACTGACAATCCACTTGTTTAGACCAGCCAATGAAGATTACGTCAAATGCCAGAAAGTTCTTCTGTTACGAAGTGGAAAATCCAAATTCGAAGGCGCACCTCCATCTTTGAAAGGCCGTTTTCGGACAGCAGTGAAAGCCTTCAGAATTTCGAATTTTTGTCTATTCAAGAGGCCATCAACATGTTTTGTGATCGTTGACTTTTAATCAGAAATGCATCGTTCCGCACTTTTTCCATCGGGCGGATGCGGTACTTTAGGCACCGTTCGTGACCGATCGGCACAGCTTTGTTCCTTTCCTCTTCCACAGTTTCATGCCTTGTGAGTCGGTCCTTTCACTAATGAGTCTCACTATCCTTACTCTTATATTAGGTTGTCACGCATAATTTTGGAATCACTTTGGTATTTTGACATTGACTTCGAAAAAAAACTTTTTTCTTTTATTATGTGGATGCCTTTGCTCCACATCAAATAAGAAAAAAAATTCTATCCAAACATACATCTCTGTCATCTACAATGTATTGCCTAAACAAGGAAATTTAGTTGCTGTCTTATCTCTAGAATTCCAGGAGCTATTGATCGAAGAAAGATCGGAAGTCGAGTTTGAGGTCATGTCACTTAGCGTAAAGTTTCTTCCTGGAGAAGAGCGCTAGAGGTCAGACTGAGTTGTATTTTGTTGACACGAGGATAGGGCCACATATAGGAGGTGAAAGAAGTGCTAGCCCGGAAGTCTCCAATTTTTTATGAATATTCTCCGCAAAGGTGGGGTCGGACGACCTCAGGAAAAAGCAGACTTTGTCTTGTGCTACTTTCAATTCATATATTGAACGCGTCGCCATTGCGCTCATATAATGCTGATCTTCTTCGGTGACTCTAGTATTAGTTGGCGGCGGTTCCCAGCGTAAGGTCACTCTCGTGCTCATACAATATCTCGGAAGAGTCGGACTCAAAGGGGGTTCGGTTTTTGCTGTCAGAACTCCCGAACCCTTCATGCTAAGCTGCTGCTTGTTGGAGATTTGCTAGTACACTCCACCCAGTCCAGAACCCTGATGCATATGCTGGATGATCACTGTAAGGAACTAAGAGAGATCAGAAGGAACATGATGATGTCAGATCGTGTGTGGAGCTGTTTCGGGCTCACAGCATACAAGATACAAACTAAATATTTTAAAATCTTTACAACTCTACGTAGATGTCTACATTCCATCAGTTTAATAAGCCGGACATGCTCCATCAAATGGTGACAAGTTTGTCCAGATCCACCCTCAGTGGCGCTGGGTACAGCAGTGAGATTGCCACTTGAGGGGTAGTTGGAGTGTGGGTCATCTTCAACTCAAAAAGCCAACCTCTCGATAGAGTGAATTACAAGTAGACCGCGGATTGAGGGAGCGTGCCCTCGCCTATCCGCTGGTTGATTCTCTATGTTTGTTGGCGAAAGATCCACTGAAGATCATAAATCAGCAAGTGGTTAAGCCAGGGGAGCCTCAAATACGGTTTATCCCAGAAAATTGAAGTATCAGCCACGAAAGGCAGCATGTACATGGGCCGAGTAATCGCTCAGGTAGGATAATGTGGATGCTACTTCGCAAAACATGTTTCATGCCTTCACCATTTTTCTTGGATTTTTAATAACAATAAATGTAAAGTGATTCTAATTATGGGACAACCTATATTGTTTCTCAAAATTCATTTTTCAAAAAATATCGTACATCCACACTTTTTCCCGTAGGTTTTGGGGCAGTAACTTCGAGTTATCGAGATTTTAACAGTCACATCTCTCTTCAAAAAGCCCGTTCTGGTGGGAGAAAGGTATCTTAGAAACCTAGGGATTTGTGCTTTTTGACGCACACTAAAATAATTTTAAAGAAGCTTCCAAAAAATCTGGCTTCTCTGAAACCTCTGTTTTCAGCCTTGAGGAGTCAGTCCTTTCACATATGTAGTCTCACTACCTTACTCTTATATTTAATCCGACTACACCAAAATCCGTCAAGAACAATCTTTCCGTTTGCAAAGAATTGGATTTAAAGCAGTTCCCACCAACAAGTCCTGCTTCAGGATGCGCCACGCACGCACCCATGGTTCAAAGTTGCAAAGAAGTCTGGCACAGTCTATTTATTCCTACTATGTCCTGCAAAAGCCAGTCATTCCATTCCCTGACGTGTAGTGATGCCAGCCTAAGCCTACAATAAGTTCCGTATTCATTTAGAACTCAAATTGAAATGCTGCTTATCCCCTTTGCAGCCTCTGGCAAGCTTCATCGTCGATCTGTGGGAGATATACAAAGCAGTCAAACACAAATTGAACAACTTTTCTTTCATTTTCTTCACGAACTCATGTTCTTTCCCAAGGTATCCCTCTCCCACTCACCTACCAGTGACGATATCACCACGATTTCCACCGCGGGCCCCGTGTTTGCAAACCCGAGTTTGCGACCACCTCCCCACTCCATGACCAAAATGCGCCCCCACCCTAGTTCAAATTACCAGACTGTTCACCCTGTTCCCAAGCCAAGAACTTTCTACTTCTATACCTTTGAATAGTTTTTATGCACTGAAAATTGCTGAAATTAGTTCGCGACATTTGTAACAAACTAAGCAACAAATTGTGAACAAGCATCCTAAGATATGTTTCATTACTGTTTCAGTGAATGCCACCTTTACTCGATGGGAATGCGCGCTGCTTCCGGCACTTTTCCTTCACGACATTGCCACTCCTCTTCTTGGTTTGGTACCCATGGCTATGTCGGTCAATTTTCTAGTCTCTTCCGTGATTCCGTTATGGTACATGACAGCTCGACACACCTATACGGCTTCTCTTATAGCAGGTATGTCTCTGTAGAGCAGGGTGAATAACGGTCGAGGAAATCCTCGACCATGGCTCTGTACTGCGAGAGTAGTGCCGAGAGTGAACGTACGCGCGGAGAGCACAGACGGCTCGCGCATGGCGAGTGTGAATGTCCGCGCGGGAGAGCGTAACTGATCAGGCGAAAATCCTCGACAGCCGTTGAGGAATCCTCGACCGATATTCACCCTGCTGTAGAGTGAAGTATGAAAAGAACGTGTATAAATCATTAGTAAAAGTTTTTTTTATAATGTCTGACATAATGTCTTTTTCTAGATTACAGGATTGAATTTTGCTGGAGTTTTGCATCATTCCAAAAACCACCCACCCTCGTCCTGGATGATCAGTTGAATTCAGTGGCCAACTTGACCTTAACATCGCATGTGTTTGGCATTTTGCACCTCGTGGGACAGGAGCGATTTTGCGAGCGCGCGGTCCTCGCCTAATTTCCGCTTATTTTTTGTTCAAAATGCACTAGAACTTGGACCTCATAGGATTATTTTGGCAAGGATGAAAGCATAAAGGTTAGCTATATAAATACAGTAGGTTTTTGTTTGGAAGAGCGCATAATGACCACGAAAAAGTAAAAACATCCTTTTCGCTGTGAATGAAGTTAAAAGCATTTAAACCTGAGTTCTTTCATCGAATACAAATAATTTGAAACTCACAGAGTTTTGTATTCACTGCTTCTACAATCTTTCATAAGAACCTTGCCGACAGTGAAAGGAATATAGGAAGAATTGAAATGAAAGCTCTGTGTGTTCAGAAAATCTTTGCTAAATCGAAGGATATTTGACCACTCTGGCTGCCATGTGGTTTATAGTTACGCTACTGTGTTATCTATAGAATGAATACAAAATACTCGAGCAGTAAGGGCACAAGCAGAGTAAAAATTATTGACACAGTTCTGACG